AAATTTTAATAAATATTCTGAAATGCTTAGAATTTTTCCCGTACTTAATCAAGATTAAATATATAAAAGCTAATTTTTTTTATAAATCATAGAAATGAGAAGCATCTTGTAGAGACATTTTTTACAAAAAATAACAGAAGTTTCATAAAATATAAATAAAATATATAGCAAATTACGGGACGTCGCGTTATTCTTTGCGGGACGAAATTCATTTTGCGAAATTGCGGAACTCAAAGCGAAACGTATGGCAGGCCCACTCGGCCATATAAATAAATTATATTTTTTCATTACCCGTCCAATTTTTTTATTAAAGGATTTATTCACATTGTTAATGTTAAAATGTCAAATGTGAGTATATAATATATTGAAAAACGTAACCAAATGCCAATATTACTACATAAATCAATTGTAAATGTTCGAAACATTTTTTCGCAATTTTTTTTACCGTCGATTGTCGTTTATCGTTTAGAAAATTTTTTCTCACCAAACTTTTATCACGAAGACACTATAGCGTTGCTTCAGCAGCGGCTTATTAGAGAGAAGGGGCTTCTACTCGAGACAGAGATAACTTAAGATCGTCATTGAAATTAGAGGGGGTAGTTAGTTATGAAGTGGATATTGTTATTTGAATAAAATTGAATTACACTTTTGTAATTCGTAACGAAAGGAAAAGTTTTTTTTGAAAGGTTATTTGTGGAATTGATTGGTAGGGAATAGCTAGATTTTGCAAAAAAAAAACCCTCATAAAATCGGTATCTTGATGTGTAACCATTTTTAGTTAGCTGAATTTGCTACCAAACTAAACCTTTTAAAGTATTTTAAATTTTTAAGTGAAAAAAAATGGTAAATTAAAATATGTAACAACTTATTTACTATATATTTGCTAATATAATCTTATAATATTAGTATTATAGAATAAATATATCCAATATTTTTAAAACCTTTGAAACTCTAGTTACATTTATAAAATTATACTGAGTTGATATAAAAGAATTTTTTTTAATCGATAACTACTTATCATAATAATTTACGTATGATTTATTTTTGAAACCTAAATAACCTAAATCTGGACCCTGGATCCGAACCCTTTTTAGAATCCTATTCCTGAACCCGAACCTTTTTTTTTTGTCGAAGGGTTCACATGGTTTTTATCAAGCTTAGTAAATAAGTTTCTAAAAATATATTTATATTATTTACATATTTTTTGACCTTTCAATCAGGTTTTCGAACCGAAATCAAAGCCGAAACCCCCGTTTTATAAAAATTACTAAACCCAAACCAAAATTGAACCTTTTTTATATTTTCTAAAAACCCAAGCTAAACCAGGGGAATTTTTTGACGGGTTCAATCGGTTCAGGGAACTTTATATTTAAAATCATATATTAAGATATTTGCTTATTTGTATATATTGTATATAAATAATTAATAATTTAAATGGGATTCTATAATATATTTAATTTATTTAAGTATTAACAGTAAGAATCATTAAATATTACAGATATTACTTAGTGATTATGATAAGGTTTGCGCGGAGTCAGTGGCCCCTATCTGAGCAACGGAAGCAGAATACACCCCTGAAAAGTGCCCCCCCCCCTTTCGAAAAAATGGTTAATTATTTTTTTGACACCCATAAATTTCAAAAATAAGTTTTATTGCATCAATCTTTAATATATAATATAAATAAAATGTAAAAAAATATATACTTTGAAAATATTATTTTTAAATTAATAATTTAGAAAAATTAGGGGAAGGGAAAACGAAAGAATTTATAATTTCATCAATATTTAATTGCTTAAATTTTTTTCCATTGATAAAATAGTTAAATTATTAAGAAATGGATCTTTCATGGTACTACTAAGTCTTGCTTTAATTAATTTAATTTTACTCATGACCCTTTCGGCAGTATCTGAAGTAGTAGGAATTTATCATCTCTTATATTATAGGGTATTAAAAGAATCGGTGAAGACGATCTTAATCAAGATTTCATAATTATTAATTAAGCATTTCTATTTTTTTGGTTAATATTTTTGGGAATATTTTGAAATTGGAAAAATAATTTTATGACAAAAAATCTCGGGTAAGAACCTAATTTGCTAAACATCGATCAGATTTTATTAAAATCTAATAAGACCTCTTACTTATTATTTAATTAAATATTTATTAACGGAATCATGAGGTCGAGTCCAATATCATAATCCAGAAATCACTTGGTTATGTATGGGTGTAGTAAAACAATAAAAGAAGGACCCCCCACTGCGCGGAGTTGGATTAAAAACATATCTTTGTCCATTTTAACAGATGATAATAGTTCGAAAATATTTTACATTTTTGGAAGTCTGCCTAGCTCAGCACCCTGATTTATATATTTTATCCAAAATCTTATTTGCTCTTCTTGCAACCCAAGTTAATTTATCGCATATATAAATGTATTTAATATAGATTAGCGTTGAAATATATTTTTCACATAAGAAATTCATTCTTTCAACATAAAAATAGAGGATGAGTGAACTCTTAGAAATACTATTACTAAATAAAAATTATATGATGCCTGACTATGCTTTGTATTTTAAAATATATTTTGCCTATAAATAAATTTAAAATTTTATTTTTTATACCAAATTTATGTCTAGTTTTTTCAAAATTATGATTTAAATATATAAATTTATTCTTATATACAATAGAAATATTCTTAAACCCGACCTACTCGAAACCAAACCCAGGTTCTAAAATAATCTCCTAAACCGAAATCGAACTGAATCCACTTATTTTCTTACCTTGAAGCGAACCCGGTTAATATTTTTGCCGGGTTCGACATCAGGATCCATGTTACTAACGGGGTCCCTACTAAAATTAGGAGTATTCGGTACATGACCCTCATTCCTTATTTTCTCAAAAGCTATGTGAAAATTGTATAACCAGACCTGATAAAATAATATTTTATTCAAAAACCAGATTATCCATGATAATGATAACTTTTTAAATAGATTTTTAAAGATGGGAAAAGTATTATAAAACACCTTCCCAAAGTTGCAATTATATCCTGTTAAAATTTATAATTATACTACTTTCAGTAAACAATGAGTTTATTAACATTTAATTTTGGGGATAATTTCCTAACATTCCCTTATAAATGTCTCACCTTTCCCAAATCCAAAAATATTTCTCTATTTGACCTATAAATATAATTTAGAAACCTTTGACTCCTTCTCCATGACTGATTACAGATAAAAAAAGGAAGCAATAATGATGATAATAATCTACTTTATCGTTGCAATAAAATATTAAAAAAAAATAAATCCATCTCAAATTAACATCCATTCATAACAAATCTTCAGTAAAGAATGACACCTTATTATGTTTACGCAACCTTTATACCTTTCTGTCTTATATACATCTTTACCTTTTATATCACCGACGCATCCAATTATCATACCTAATGATAAAATAATTCAGTCTATCAATTCCTTCAACAAATATTTCGTACCTAAACTCCATGGTTTTCTCCCTTCTCACTTACATGAAATCTAAGACCTACCTCAAATAATTATTTTTAAATGCTCTTATAACTTTTTAAAATAATTTAAGCAAAGGCTTCCCATCACAAATATACCGAATTCTTCATAGGCCCAACCTTATTGCCCTTCAAAATTCCTAAGGTGGTATCCGCCCAATCGCAATTGGCTCTATATTTAGGAAATTATTAGCAAAAAAATTATGACTCTCATCAAAACCGAGAGTCTTAACTTATTAAGTATGTATTAATAGGATTCGGTGTTAATGGGGGATGCAAAATAGATTCACACGCCATTCGTACTTATATCCAAAATCTTCCTCTCCTCCTAACATGGATTATTAAAGGAGAAAAATGGTTATAATAGCATATCTGGAAACATTTCTTATTTTTATCATAAATTTTCTGATTAAAATTCCTAGAGACAAGATTTGGTATTAAAACTCCTCTTTTATTTTGCCCATATGTCATAGTAACAATGAAGAAATCCAGTATGAAGATACACTTAGTCCTATTTTGCCATGATATTCATGATCTCATGCATGATCTTAAATTTAAATTCTATTTGGATCTAAATATTTTGCATCCTGATGTAAAAATCTGTGGTCCACTTCATTAAATAAATCCATGAAGCCATTTTTAAATATATTGGACTTATTCTTAATATAAATCGAAATTTACTTCCATGATAACAATTTTATTGACCTACCGGATAACAAAATTGCAGCAATCTATTCCTAGGGTTCACCTTTACCAAACATCTCTCCACCTGAGGAATCGTTTTCCATCTTTAACAATATTTTTAACATGGGGCAAATTTTGAATTTTACTTCCAGTCTACCAGAGCCTTTATCATTCGCAAATGTTTATAAATTCCCTAATAACTATAACTATTTCGCTCATTCTATTTTTTTCTCTTAAAAGTTTTTATAGAGACTATGGAATCACTTTTTCTTAATTGGTAAAAATTTTAAACCTAAATTTATCTACTTTTAGCTGGAATAACTCAATTACCTGAGAGAATTGGGGGGGGGGGTCGATTTAATATACCGCTTGACAAAAAATTTTGGATATCAAGCTTTACCTCTCCTAACGATGATTTACTAGAACTAGCCCATCTAATGTGGCAAGACAACGTTTCTCATAACCAGCTTTTCCTACAATAGTAAAGCACAAAAACATATTCCCATCCTTAATATAAAATCTCATTAATTTATTTTCCTCTTCATCTCTTGAAGATATTTGACTCTTTCAAATAGATGATAGGATTGGTGGTCACGAATGGCAGGATGCCTCGCTGAGCGATTATCTTTTTCTTAAAAATTTTTTTATATTATTGTTTTTGTTTTATACGTAAATGTTTTTAATTCTATTTTTTTTTTGGACATGAATAAAACTTAACAAAATGACGGAAAAAAATTGAAATAAATAATGAAAATTAATTGTTCATACATTTTCTTATAATTTGAAATATTTTATGAAAGATAACATTTTAAAATTATATTTAGACTAACCGGTTTTTTACTAATTTTATAATAAGAAATAACTAAACATCAGAGATGTCTCAATTAAATAATATTCAATCTATTCTATTTATAAGTTTGTTATTGGTAAGTATCACAATATGGTCATCCCATAATGTTCAAGGGGCAAACTTCGGTGCAACGACTTTTAAAATTAGTAAGCCGAAATAAATAAATTATAAAATTTTAATCGATGGCTTACGTCTAGAATTTTGCCAATTTTAGCAATTCTTCATTAATTCTCTTTTCTACTTCCATTTCTAATGTAAAATGTTAGTTTAAAAGGCTATCAGAAATTAAAAATTGTTTTTTTGGATATTTTCTTTCTGCTAATTTTAGATGAAATTTCCTCATTTCTTTTGTTAATACCTCACCCTAGTTCGACTAAATTAGTTATGAATTTCGTATTAATCCTTAAGTGTGTAAGCGTCCAAGTTGTATAACTAAAATCACTATTGAACTAAATTTTGGAATCATATGTTATACGTAACACATGTGGGTTATATGAATTACGATTTAAATTCTTGGATATAGGGATAAATTAGTTCACTAAATTCATAAGTAATTTAATCGAAATAGGATGAGGTATAAGGATATAATTTTCTATTTTTTTCTTCCAATTTGAAAAAATAATTAGAAGATAAACGTCACGAAATCTTCTCGAATTATGAGTTATTTTTCCTAAGATTTTATATTCTAAATTGTAGGGGTGACTGGAAAAAGCTGTTGACTAGGAAACAATATTAACCCTAATAACTTTAATTATTCTTAAGCATAAGAACCGTAAATTTGGTCTGAAGATGTATTTTTATATAAAATTCCTTATCCGTGATATTTATTTCGGATAATGTTCTTTGTTTTGATGCATAAAATTTTGCCAATAACCCTTTATTTTACCCATTTATAAAAATGACATTCTTTTCGCATAGTGAAGCTTTAAAGTTAGATAAAAAAAAATATAGGTTCGGTAAATAGTAATAGTGAATAACGGTTAACGAATCGATTCGAGTTCGGGTTGAATCCCTGCATTAAGTATAATGTTATAAAAATAAAAGTAACATCTTAAAGGTTTTTTTTGTTAAATTTAATAATATAAACATCAAATATTATTTAATGAAGGGATTTTTTAAAAATCCATATATTAATGGACGTCGGAGGTATTGGTAAGTAAGGATCCTTACACTAATTAGAGTAATTTATATATTATTTGAAAAATAAGGATTCGATGAAAATTTACTAACTCCTTAATGAGTTCCAGTAAAACTGTATCAAAATTATCCAATTCCTTTATATAGAAAATTTAAGGAAGATGTGAATATTTTATATGAAATGTTGAAAGAGAGAAAAAATAAATAGAAACTCTTTTCTATATGCAAAAAGCAAAAAATTTGAAATGTGCCTAATCACGTAAAATTACTAAACCAATAGAAAACCTACATATAATTGTGCTAAATTTTTTGAACAAAAAAAAATTCCCAATTATTTTACCGCATTATATAAATATTTTTTGCCCTCCCCTGGAAAAAAGGTCTTCTATATCCCCCCCCCCCAAAAAAAAAAAACTAATGACAATATTACCCTATCTAAAATTTTAAACTATTTTGAAATTCCTCCCTCCCTACCTCTAAATACACTTCCACCCCCACCCCGACCCTTACTCTTATTTAATCAAAATTAGCAAAAATCAATATTGAATAATTCATGTTTTATTCAGATAATTGTACGATGCGTACCCTAAACTTAAATTTAACTTTGAGCCCCGGTGGAGGATGGAGATCTGCTAAACCTTGTATGAAATGTACGTGCTCATCCAATGGTCCTGAAATGACTATGGAATGCCAAACGTAATCAAGAACATTAAATATATGTAGAAGGAAGGAAGGAAGGAAGGAAGGAAGGAAGGAAGGAAGGAAGGAAGGAAGGAAGGAAGGAAGGAAGGAAGGAAGGAAGGAAGGAAGGAAGGAAGGAAGGAAGGAAGGAAGGAAGGAAGGAAGGAAGGAAGGAAGGAAGGAAGGAAGGAAGGAAGGAAGGAAGAAAGGAAGGATATATTTTAAATTCCTCTATTTATAAAATGTTTTTTTAAGGTGTGGAACATTCTCGTCACCTTGTACTAATGTTGATGAAAAAGCTTTCTATCCGAATTGTTGTCCACGCCCCTGCAGAATCACATTATCACAAAATAATAACTCTATTTGACATTTGTATAATTTCTTATTTTTGAATCGGAACAAAATTTTACAAATTCTGGCAACAAATTAATTATTGTTTAATTTAGATAGATTTAATACTTAAACATTAATATTGTTATAAATCATTTTTTAAAATTTTAAAAACTAATGTATCAAAATTAAATTTTAGGTTAATAAAACAATTAAATATGATTTAAAAAAATAAAACATATAATGACCAAAATGACACATGTTTAGAAAATTTAAATATTTTTGAAAATGTTGACTTTCTATATTTTCTCATTTTTTTAAAATTGTTTTTATTTGGTTTTCCTTCTTTCATGGCCAAAAAATGGTGCAAAATTTTTATAGAAGCAAAGTGAAAAATTATATTATACTATAATAAAAGTAGACATCACGACTGGGTTCTCACGCAGAGCACGTGATCAATAATATAATTTAATTGGAAGAGTTTATTAAATGGTAAAAACTTAGAAAATATAAATAATGATATAAAAAAATTTAAGTTTACACACTAAGTGCATTATGTAAAATGCTGATATGTGTGTTTTTTTTAAATTGGAATTTTACACAATGTTGACTTTAACTAGCCAATACGTAAAAACACACCAAGGGGTGATATAAGAGGGGGGGGTTATCTATCTAGATACATGGGCCTTTAATTATTAGAGGGGCCACTCCTAATTTTTTGCGTGAGCCTAAATTTTTACGGTACGACTGCCTATATTGACAAGGATAACAGGCCGGAACAATAAAAGTAGAAAAGGGACATTTATCGGTACAAGGGTCCGAGGACCATCAGGCGAGGAAGGGTTTCGAGGTTTATAAAATTTGAGGGCCCTAAAAAGAAAACATATTTTTAAATAATGCTTATTTTTTTGGAAATTACCCATAATCCTGCTTAGCATATGATAGATAAAAAAATGAGAAAAAAATATATACCGCCATGTTAGCTAGGTTGGTGATATAAAGAAAGATAATTTCGAAGAAGGCATAATGGGGTTAATGTTAGGTGCCACACGGTCCTCCAAGTTAAATTCAAAGGAATCCTCAGAGAAAAGAGATTTAATGGAGGTGGAGGATATAAACGACCTTAGGTGGATTGAAGATGGGGTTAATCAGGAGATATACTCTGAAATAAAGTTAGCAGTAACTATAATAGTGTTAACTAAAGGTAAAGGAATGTTCAAAAGATAGTAAAAGCTCAAATATTTAAGGTATTTTTAGGTAAAATAGGTATAGAGAAATATATGGTTAAATTCCTCTGGAGGAGCTTGAGTATTATTAGGTTATTGTAAAAAGTAATAATATATATATATAGTAGTATTAGAATATGGAATTCGGAATCGCTCGATTTTAAATAATTTTCTAAAGGCCATTTTTAATTTTAAAAAATATAATTTGACCGGAAATGTAATACAAAATGTATAGACTAGAGATCTGCAAAAGTAGGCCCGGGCCGGGCCTAATATTTTTAAAGAAATTTTGTGCCGGGTCGGGTTGGGCCTTAGAAATTTTTTAAAATATATCTAAATTTATCAATTTTATGTTGAATTTTTTTATGTAAAATAAAAACATGTGATTATTTTATAGAAAGTAGACGCCATATATCATATATCGTTTATTTTGAGTAATTATAAAAATTAATTTCTATATTTAAATAAATTCGGGCTTCGGGCAGGCCGGGCAAATTTTTCAAAAAAAATTTCGGGTCTGGCCGGGCTTGAAAAATTAGGTCCGATGCATATCACTAGTATAGACTATATATACGCTGATAATTTTAGATAATTTTGACTTTAGCCGTTGAAACACTTCTAATCCATATACGTTTTATATATAAATTTTTCATAAATATTTAAAAATGCGATTACTTTATGGCAAAAATTGTCTGAAATTTATAGGGTAAAATAATCCTAGAAACGCTAGAATACATCGGTGAAATAATTTTTCAAATTAAAAAATCGCCCTCAATAAGACCGGGGTAGGTTGGGATACTTCAGATCTTTTATGTAGATTCAAAAGTTTACCTAGGGCTAAAATTAAAAATTTACAAAATAATTAAAACGTTATAAGATATCTATGTGACTGAAAAATAATATTTTATAGATTCTTTCAGAAGCTGTAAAAAAGAAATATTTTTTAAAAAAAATTTCCCATTTACCAGAAAAATTAGCATAGAAATAAAAACTCAACATCTATGGATGAAATACTAAATGCTAAGTGCCATGGGCCGATTCTTGTTTTTCGTTCAAAATCATGTCCAGAAGCAATATGGAATTAGTGATTGATTGGGAAGCAAAGACCTTGCGGGAAATTTTTAACATAGATACCAAACTCCCCTTTGTCAAATGTTTTCCGCCTATTAAATATCTTAAAATTCAAATCTATATACATTCAAAAGATTGTTCCGTTTATAGTTTATTACAAATATTCACATATAAAAATATAATTTGGTGCCATTGTGTAAGTAATGGGCATTTATTTTTTAAAAAATATGGAGAAGAGTTTTGAAACACTCATTTTTTTAAAGGGAAGGGAAACTAAAATACGCTCTTGAAAACCTAACCAGCAAAATAAAATCTTTTTCAAGCATGCCAAGCATTCCTATTTGCATTTTCATCATAATAATTATATTAACCTCCAATATTAAAATACGGTAGAAAAGGGATGGACTTAGATGTATTTGTATTTGTAACAACCAGTTCATGGGCCTGGATTTATTGATCAAGCTCGGCCCAAGTCCATACGTAAAAAAAAGGATGTTTTATTTGGTGGTATTTCATTTATGTATTTTTTATTATTATTTCATTATTGACATTTTGGTGAAATATTAGATATAGTTTGTTTGTCACGTTTCTCATTTAATATGATAATAGATAAAATTTAGGAGGAACAAAAAATGGAGGACAAACGAAAGGAGAGTCTCAGATTTTTTTAAAATATTTAGTTACACAGTTAACTGTCTATTCTGAGCTCTTTACAATTCGGGACAATGGCCTAATTCGACAATTCTGAGTTCCAATAAAATTCCTATTAAGCTCTATTAAATAATATCGTTATAAATTGGGCAGCGGTTAACCTTTAAAAAGTGGGCAAATTTCTAATTTTTGCTCATTTGCATAAGATTCTATCATTCATTCATTTATATTATAAAATTATATCATATTTTTAAAATTATTCATGTCAAATTAGAAAATTAATAAAGAAAACGTATAAAGAGTTATCGTTAATTAAGAATTATTGGGATTAAATTTCTAAATCATCATACTCAAAGACAATGTGCTATTAGATTTAATATTTTCTAAAGGAACTGTTTAACAAAAGTCATAAATCCAAAGAAGACAGTATCTCTCAAAAGCTAATCAAATAAAAACACAAAGATAACATCTTAATTTATTTCATAAATTAATTTTCTGTCTTTATTCTTATTTCGTATATTATTCACACATTTTATAATGATTTTACCTCATTGGGATACTGAATCCGTAGGAATTCATAGTATCTCTATTTTTAAGTTATTTTCCGACGGAGGGTTTAAAAAAAATTTTTTAATCCGATTTACCAGGAAATGTATTCCAGCATGTCCAAAGTATCTACCCTTTGGATAACTTTTCGCTATAAACCTATTCACCATGAATTAAGAATAGTTCTAAAGTTCATGGAAAAATTGTATTGTTTGAAATATACAGCGTACTCTACATGTTGGAATGCATTTCCGGTCAAATAAATAATTTCAGATTTTAGAGATCACTTTTTGTAGTGATTTTGAAGTGAATTCCATGGTCTAAATCGACTGGGATATATTTCCAGTGAAATCAGATTTTTTTAAATTATCGCCCTCGGTATGATATAAATTTGAGAAGTTCAGAATTATATAGGTTAAGGTTGAAAATGTTTTTTGCTTAGAATTATGAAATAATAATTTAATTTGATGAGAAATCCAAGAAGTGTGATTTAAAATTAGACCATCTATAATTTATTTGTCAAATTGAGTAAAATTACTATTTTTCTTATGCTATACGAGAAAAATAACTCAGTGACGTAGCCAGGATTGATCCATGGGAGTGGGGGGGGGGGGGTTAAGCCCCCAAACCGCATTTTAAAAATTTGCTAATTTTGTTTATTGGTGTCTAACTACTATAGTAGCCAGCATAAATGAAAAAAATATTAGTAACAAAATTTTGGCCAAATTTATGATTAATACGCGATTGAAAGCATTATTCTGAAAATTTTACCAATGTTTAGTCAATTGTAAATTAATTCAATCCATTCGGTGTAGAAAGAAGATAAAATCGCCCTCTCCCCAACCTCCCATTTTTTATGATCACTCAATATATCTTATTCTATGTTAAAAATAATTATTTAATTAAATTTTTGCATGTAAAAAAATTTTGCAGAGAATTTAAATATAGATTTTATTTATTATTTATACAATAAAATAAATTTAAAAATGTATAAATTTTATACAGATTATATTAAAAATTTATTCTAAATAACTATATTTAAAAAATAATAGAATTACAATAAAATATGAGTAATTCTTGTGCGGTATTTTAAAAAAATCTAATTTAACAATTATAATATAATGAATACAAATGAGTATATTAATAAAACATAAATAATTCTTATAAGAGATCCACAAAAGTAGGAAAATCGGGATCGGGCTGAGTCGGGCCTAATATTTTTTAAAAAAATCGGGCCGGTTTGGGTCGGGCCTTGGAAATTTTTTAATATATATCTAAATATATCGATTTTATGTTAAATTTTTTATGTAAAATAAAAATATTTGATTTTTATTTATAAAAACTAGACGCCATATAACATATATCTTTTTTTATAAGTAATTATAAAAATGAATTTCTATATTTAAATAAATTCGGCCCACAAACTTTTTTAAAAAAATTTCGGGTTCGGGCCGGCAAAACTGTTTTAAAATAATTTCGGGTAGGGCCGGGCTTGAAAAATTAGGCCCGATGCAGATCATTAATTCTTAGTGCAAATGCACTATTTTTATTAAAAATAGTATAATATATAAATATTATGACTAAGAATTCATTATAATTACGTTTTGAATATAAAAATTTTATGACTAAAATCATATTCTAATAATATAGCAATTTTATAATTTGAATTTATAAAGAGAGGTCTACTTTTCTCTGAGATTTGACTAATTCCTCTAGAATCAAATTTTATCTAGAATAATCTCCTTATAAATATTTAATATAGCGAATCCATTTAAACGGCTTTCACCGGTGCTATTTCTTAAATAGGTTTTTAACATTTTCAAAGTTGAAAAAGACCTTTCATTAGTGCAGGTGCTAATCGGTAAGGTAGCTAATATAAAAAGCAATGTTTTGATATTAGGCAGGGAATCTAAAGTGCAATTATACATGGAAAGGGCCTGCAAAGCATATTTTAGTCTCAAAGAGTACTCTATTCTGTCAAAATTTTTATACCAAAATTCGACATCACAAAGTAATTTATCATACGATCCTGATAATTCATCAGAATAGAACTCTGAGATTTTCTTAATATCCTCTCGCGTTTCAAATGTATTTAGACTCAATCGGCAAAAGAAAATAAAAGCTGTTTATAATAAAATTGTGACTAATAAATCTTTCCTTTAATTGAAATAAAATTGTATCTAAGGGGAGTAAAAATATTTATTTTATAAAAATCCTCAATACTAGATGCATCAATATTTAAGGGATTGGACTATCTAGAAACTACTCTAGGTTTAAAATTTTTAATCCTAAACATATTAGCGATCACCTTTACTTTCTCATTATATTTCCCAAATTAAATGATTTTTCTTTTATTTTTTAAAACTATCTAATTAGTTTAACAATATAAATTTTATTATTAAATTTATAAATATCTAAATTAACTATGTGGGAAAAAATTTACAATATATATTTTTTATTATTTAATATTTTACATATAATTTTTAATATATATTTTTAAACCATGTTATCATTTAAAATTAAAAATTCTTATTTGTTTTTTTGAATATATTTCATTTTCATATCGTATGTAATTTTATTTATAAATTGAAACCATTTTTTAAAAAAAATTGTTTGCAATAAGAAAATTTTTTTTTTTTTAAATTTTACCCCCCCCCCCCCCCCCCCCCCACTTTTCTATGTCACTGGTAATACTTAAATTAAAGAAATTTATTATATCTTGTCATAAAAAATCTAATAACACTACTCATGGAATTTCTATGGGTGAAAAAGAAATTAGTTATGTACTATTAAAAGTATGAAATAATAATAAACTTTGATAAAAAATCAAAAAAAATAAATACATGATACAAAATTTAAATCACACCGCCCTCTATTGTTTAGGCATTCCTTATTTCCATCCAACTGGAATAAGTTTAATTTGAGAGAACTGATAAATATGCTCACCACATGTTTGTGGGCAAAACTCACGTACTTGTACTCCATCTATGTTTTAATGTTTCTTTGGGGTTACTGCATTTCATTATTTAAAAAAGATTAGATTAGTGTGAAGTGAGTTTGAAGAGGAAAGTGAGTGTCTGAAAAGGTCCTAGAAGTATATTGACCGCATCCCATCAAGGCCACTTTCATGTTTTTTTCGTGAAAAGTTTTATATATTTTTAAGAGATTCTGATTTTTTGATTTTTGTGAAAACATTATGAATTACGATTTTTGGTCATTTTTATTTTATATAGTTTTATTTTTAGTGATAATTATGATTTTTTGGCGTGATTTTGATTTTGGGTTTTATAATTATAAAGAAATGTATTTTTAACTTGTTATTCCTTACATTATTTTTCTTTGCAATTAGGAGCTTCCCTATAAAGGTGGAGCGAATTGTAATAAATTATTATTAAACTTTTTTTCCAATTTTCTTAAATAAAGTTTAGTTATTATAACTATTCGTGTTATTAAATTTTAGCGAGTGCTAGAAAAATATGTGCGGACAACCAACAGCCACCTCAGAAATTTTATTGAGGAATTTGTTGAGTATAATATTTTTAATTCAGTCGAGTTAGTGGAACTATTGTTGGGATATTAATGTATGTAATCAGGGTGATCTTGCTCCCTCTAAATGTTTAATAGCTGTTGGGTTAATAGGTATTATTGGATGATAAAAATTTTAGGGATTCAAAAATATTCAAACTGTTTTTTTTAGATCAATTGCATATTGTTTGTGTCTGATAGAGGAGGGGTTGCTATATAGTTTCGGTGTTGAGGTTTAAATGGCTTAACTTTTGTGTATGTGAATAAGTTTTCACTCTAGCAGGTCCGTAGACATCAGGGCACCCACCCACCCCAAAAAATTTTTATTCTGCTTAAATCTGAACCCTCTATAACATTTTTGGTCCATAAATAGCTTTAAAAAATTTTCCGATCCCCAGATTTAAAAAAAATATTATTTATTGAATTATAAATCGCCATTAATAATTAAAACTAAATGAAATCTTAAAAAAAATTTTACCTTTTAAAATTTTATTTAGTCAAATTAATTGGATAAACAAAAAAACACTTATAAAAAAATTAGTAATAAAATATTCATTATTCATTAACCAATAAATAAAAAAACACCAATCGGCATTATACTAAAACGTCAAATAACATATTAAATATTAAGATCCAGAGACAAAATAATGGTTTAAAAAATGTTAAAAATTTTAAATAGAGTGGATTATATGGGATTTACAAAAACGGCCATACTCTTTGAAATTGCAAATGTGAAATAAGCAGATATTGATAATAATCGATCTTCTTGTTTTTTTCAGATATCTCCTTTCAACATCCACAATGATGATAAAAATTAATTTCAACCTAGCCAATATCTTTCCATAAGCATTATTTTTATTTATTAAGGCATGGGCTTCTATCTATCTCCCTTTATATTTTCAATAGGGGTTTAAGTAAGGGGCTTTGCCTCTTACGTGCACAGGTAACTGCAGCTTGCCCCCTGCCTAAAAAATGTTAATGAGTCTCTTTCATTTTACACTCAATTTCTTGACGCAATTAGATGGGATTTGAGAGAATCTTAGCCTTGCTCTGTTGCTTCAATTAGCAAAAAGGGCGATTCTGTTACTACGTATGACCTATGAGGAAAATATTAAAACAATACATAAAAAAAATTATAGGAAAGAGAGATTTTTATAAAGTTGGCAAACATTTTACTTTGAAGAAGATACTCTTTTCAATAATTTTTCTTGTGGAGTATAGCTGTACCATCCATATAAAATTTAGTCAAAAATTTAATTTTTCCTAATGTGCTTAGATCAGAAGATGGAGTTATAGATATAGTATTCATAAATTTGATAGAGCCATTTGATGAATTACCAATTGTAAGTCTTGTTCCAGTGGAATAAAAACGGTCATTTTATAGTAATCCTCAATGAGTCCACGTTAATATTGAAACGATTTGTTTATCTAGGTGAAACAAAGCTTGCGAATCTCATCGTCATATTCGTCTTGATTAATATCATTTCTAGTTTTTTTATTTAAATTTTTACTATAGCAAAATCTATTTTATTGCATAAAACCGTTGTTTAAAAAAATAATTATTAACATATTCCAATGCAAAAAAATATCCGTCGTATTGATATTCCTGCTTCAGATGGAATATCTTGTTTAGCCCATAATGATATTTCTATAAGGGAACTCAAAATTGAATCTTTTGATCTAAAAATTCTGTAATAGCTTGATCTCGAAGGCTCCATCTTATCGGGCAGCCTTTTTGCAATTTTTTCCATATTGATAATCCTGCTTCAGATGGAATATCTGATTTAGCCAATCATGATATTTCTCTAAGAGAACTCAAAATTGACTCTTTTGATCTTAAAATTCTGTAATAGCTTGATATCGAAGGCTCTATCTTATCGGACAGCCTTTTTGCATTCAAAAATAATTATATCCACTAAATTCTCTCTATTATTCTATCTGAACTTTTCAAATACTCTAGAAATTTACATAATTATAGTTATTAGCAGAGAAAAAGTAAACATCAGTGTTTAATGTTTAAAAAAATTTATGAAAATAAACTTTAAAATTTTGTGAGATAAAATATTAATATACACGGAATAAATATTTGAATTAGTTTTAAATTTTTGCTAATATTTAAAATAGAAAATAACCTATTTGAAATAGATTACTTTCACAAATCTTAGGTTGTCAATCTTCTTATTTTAGCCAAACCTCAAGTGATGCTTAGTTTTTTCAAATGTCTAAATTTTAAAAATGAAATTAATCATCAAGTACTTATCCAATTTTACAAAATTTATATTATTTATTACACAGAAACGTTTCATAGCGAGAAAGGTTAGAAAGGTTGGCAAGACAAAATTATTTCGTGTTAACATGCCTCCCCAATATACAGACAAAGAAAATAAAATGATATGGAATAATATATTTGAATATAGAACTCAAGTCAAATCAATTAGGTTTAGTATTTGAGTTTTTATTGACGATGATTTTTAATATCCTTTTAAGAATAACCCTTAAAATTCCATTTAAATGCAAATATATAAGTTTCACAGATGTTTTCTAATTACAAATATTATCATAATTTTTTTATGCACTTTTTTAAATATATACTACTAGAAATTACTTTGAAATGATAGAAAATGACAAAAAATTAAGAGGAGGCAAAGATGACATGGAAAGACAAATCAGGGAAACAGAAATTACCAGATTAATTTGTGAAAATGACAAAGAGAATGAAAGGATCAGTAAATTAAGGTTACACAATTGTTTTTTAAGTTATATGTCAAGGCTTTATAAATATTATAAATTAAGAATTTTTTTTTGAATAAAGCTTTAAATACAAATTTTTTTTTTGATATTTTTAATATAATTTAAAGATACACAAATTACTTTTTATTTAATATTGTTATCAAGTCATATTCTCTTTCTAACTTAAAGCAAATTATTAATATTAATATAGAGAACAAAAAATGTTAGAAGAATGGATGGAAAAACAGGAACAAGAAATTCAAACATTCTTAGAAGAGAAAGATAAAACCCTGATTAGGCTGGAAAATGCTGATAGGAAAATTGAAGAATTACAAGTTTTTATTTTAAAATTAAATTATACCATTGACTTGTAGAATATTAAATTTTTGGCCTGTGCTATTTAATTTAAAGAAATTTTTTTGCTAATACAATCCTACTTTATGTTTTATAAGCATTCCTATATTTTTCCCAAAATCTTAGCCTGTTAGTGATTTATTTATTTTTCTAGGCAGGAAAATTAAAAATATGCTTTCACCATTTTTAAATTTCATTTTTTTTTATTTCGCCACAAACTCCAGCAATCATATAATTCAGAAAAATTTGCACAATTAAAGTTAAATAGTAATTTGGCAAAGAGAACTCATAATACTAACATAAACATTTCAGAAAAAATGCAAAAATGTTTTTTTTATATGAGAGAAAATTTTTGTAGAAAGTATTTGGAAAACAAATAATTAATTTTTTCATACTGTGGGAAGAACAGCTCAAAAGAATTTTTGTCTTGAATGAAAAATTTTATTTAAAGGTAATCCATCAATATCCAGAGTGTGATCTCAAAATGATGATATAAAAATTGTAAATTTAATTTAATATTAGCAAGATATCACCATTAGTGGTATAACTTTTATATTATTTAAATTAAATTTTTTAATTATTTTGGCCGTAATAACTATTGGAATTAAAGTTTCAAAATTTATGATAAAGGGAGCAGTGTTGTTAAAATAGCGCGCTACTTTTTTCAGTAGCGGTAGTAGCGGGCTACTTTTTTTAGAAAATAACGATAGCGGTAGCTCGCTACTAATTTAAAAATTATTAAAATATATTTTTTATTAAATCTAAAAATGATAATCCTTTTATTTAATTTAATTTTGAAATTTATATTTAAAAATATACATTATAAATCTAGTTAGCATTATAAATCTAGTTAGCATTATAAATCTAGTTATTAAAAATGTGTGAGATTGTTGAAGATAGCAAAATTTCTTTGGAAAATGATAAAAATATAGATTATCCTTTCCCAAAATTCAAAAAATAATTTAATCTTGAAGAAAAAATTACTACTGGATATCGGTTTCGATGCAAGATGTGTCGCAAAATTTTATCCTCAAATCATACAAGCAGCTTTAATTTGAAAAAACATTTAAAGCTAATATATTAAACAAATTTAATATCAATGTGTAGGCTAATCCTTAATTTTTAAAATAAATTTAAATCAAAGACCAATCATTTTTTTATATATATTCAAATTTATCTAAATTATTTAAAACATTAAAATAGTTATTTCAATCATTTTTATGTACTATCTCCTACATATTTTTTATTCTAAGTGTTACTGTTATAATTTTAGACTGTTCACACCTCAAATTATAAAGAGATTAAAAAATATCTCAAAAGTTTTGGGGTAATGGAAGGAGATACATCCACTTCCAAATCAAATTTAATTCAAACAAAATTAAGCAATTTGGATTCATCAACACCAGGTGTATCTCAAAAATTGGTTGACAAAGTCATAATGAACTTTATAATAGATACTGTTCAACCATTATCCTTGATTGATAATGGTTTTATAAAGATGATAAACACTTTTTCTCCACGTACCAAGATATTTTGCCGGCAGACATTGATGGCAAGAATTTTGGATAGCTTTATAGAAAGAAAGAATTTTTAATATTAAATCTATCAGATGTCTCCTACATCTGTACAACATCAGATTGCTGTACTCGCAATAGAAGGTAAAAATGTTTATTTTCAGATTTATAATATGGTATTCATATTTTTAGAACTTATTTAGGAGTGACCACACATTGTCTAAAAATCTAAAACTGAAATCTAAAGGGCAACTTGATAGGCTGATGGTAACGTTAAAAAATGTCATGCCTAACCACGATACTAATACTATAGAAAGATCGAAACAGCGGCCTTCCATAGACGATTTTTTTGAAATAAATAATATTATTGAACCTCTAGATGCTTTTTAAATCTAAAAGTACTCATTTTTGATAATTTTTTTCATATAAAAAGTGTGTATATTAAGTTTAATACTGTGTTGCGCTAGTTCTGAACGATTATTTAGTATGGCAAAGCTTATACTTTCTGATCGTCGCTCTAGACTGGGGATGACAGTACCGAAATATTATTATTAAAGGGTAATAATAAATAAATTATATATATGTAACAAATTATAGTCATGTTTTTATACCAATATTTTATTTGTGGAAATAAAGTTTCGTAAAAAATATTTTTAAAAAAAATCAAAATAGCGTAAAAAGTAGCTAATAGCGCACTAACTCACTTGAAAGCGGTAGCGATAGCGCGCTACTTTTAAAAGTAGCGTTTAACAACACTGGAAGGGTCCTGTTTTACTTCAACACAATGAGAATCCATCACATTTTAGAACTTTAATTTTTATTGCCGAATTTTACTATTCTTGAAAGACTACTTTGAGACATTATTAACTATAGACCTTTTAATAAACGGGCGATGCTTTTTAGAGTCATAAAGATTTTATATCGAAAGTCAAGTATGTAAAGGTGGAGGGAGGCAGTTTTTTTTAACCCATTTATAGATTATTCTCATTTGAAGATGCTCATGAAAATGATTATCCTAATCATTTTTTCATTCATATAATCTTTGATTATAACATCCCTCAGAGAAACCAACACCTACAATAATCATTTTTATTATTTTCATTAGCTTTACAATACATTTATTCATACTCAATCACAGACAAGTAAGCCCAAGACATGTTTTCGAATTTTATTCACAATTATATTCTACTTTTATTATTAATCATGAATACATTTATTTATTTTGTAAAATATAAGGCTAAAAGCGTTAATTTCGTGACAAACATGGAAGATCTCGACAAACTCATAGAAAAATCGCTTTCAAATATCGTAGATCATAATTTTGCCTTAACGCCAGACGGAGAAAAAATCATGGGAGATATACCATCCAAATTGAATTACTGAAAAAAAATTATAAATTTTTTAAAAAATAATTATTATTTTTAGAAAATTGTGTATTTATATAAATATCTATTTTCTATTGTAGAAAGACGTGTGCTAAAAATGTGATCCCGAAGTTGTTATTTATAATTTTATTCGTAACAATAATACATGACAGGTAATCAAAAGTACATAGAAGTATATCACTGTATCAAACATATAATACATCATCAAAATGTTCATGTCACGAAATCAAAAAAGAATATATAAAATGAATGTCCGATTACAAAAATGTTTACTATATATATTTATATTATTATTCGATAAAATAATAATTAATTATTAAGTTAGGCAAAACGTAAATAAAATCTAACTTAAGTGATAAAATAATAAAAAGGGCGAATTGTTAGGCGATAGAATATAAACAAAACTAAAATAATTTAAATCACACACCAAGGCATAGAACTAAAATATATTTATATATAACGTGTAAATTCAAATTATTAATACTTTTAAAATGTATCTATTTGCATAGGTAAAGTGAAGAAAAATTTTTCTTAAATGATTAGAAAATAATATTAGTGCTTTTTTAATAATATAATATCTAACAATTTCTAAGGCATCCCTATTTATATGTAAACATGTTTTTAGCTAGATTAATAAAACCTACTGGTTCACTAGAAGGTAGCTTTGTGTTGTAATATATAAAAAATCATAGAATAATCTCTAAAATATAGTAAATTATTGAGATTTCTATATTTAAAAAAAACCAATTTAATTTGGATGGATGGCAAAAATATTTATATAGTAAGGAAAATATAAAATTAAACCCTTAGATTTTTTTCTGGTTTTCCATTGTGTAAGATAAATTTGTCTTGTTTTAATCTAGATAAACTCGAAAATATTACAAGAAATTTATCAAAATGTTTCGATATAGATACTAGAGGTTTGCAAGGCCCGAACTGTTAAGAATTTCTGCACAAGTTTTTTGATCAAGTCCAATTTAGCCAGGCCTGGCTGGCCCATTGTAATATATTTAAAAATTTGCCCGGACAATACATAAATTTTTTCATGAAAAATCATGCCCAGCTTGTTAGATATTTTCCACTCATCATATTTTTAATATAATTTTTTTTTAATGTCAATTATGGCTTTTATATCTCCTTTATGGCTATCTATTTCTACAAAAACCTTTTTATTAATCTATTGTGCTTGATATCTGTATTGTGTATTTGTAATTAGATAATATATCATAAATTATCAGGTCAATTCAGCGAAGCCTTTAACACTAGCAAAACTTTTACTGCGTAGGAATTAGAATGAAGATAATATCGTGAAGTGAAACATCATAGCGAAGACAATATCGTGAATTTATTTCCGTGAATACATTTTAGCGAAACTTATTGAAAACAAACCTTAAGCCTGGGCTAGGTGCAAATATTTTAAATGAGATTCAATATAAATATAAGATCGTTTTTTAGCAATATTGGATCGGTAAAAAATTTGTGGATCTGCACAACCCATTAGTTATAAACAAAAATATATAAATACAAATAAAGCAGACGATAAAATTACAATTATTAAGTAGACAATAAAATTTATGTGAACAAGAAATATACAAACTTTAGCAACGCTCAATTTTTTATTGATATCTTTCTAAACCTTATGAGCTCGAAATCTAGTATGGCCATTAAGTTGATGTTATGCTTAAAATCTATCTTCTTTCAAATTTTTTTTTAATCTGAATGAATACAGTGTTGTGATGATTTAATGAAACATATTGACGATTAAATTCAAACCCATTCATATAAAATGATAATATTTGCAAAAATAATTAAAATATAGACAAAGCATTATTGAAATTTCTTTTGTTATACATTTGTAACGAATATAATTATATATGCATGTGTTTTAATTAAATCGTCAATATGTTTCATTAAATCATCACAACACTGTATTATAAATAAAAATTATGTATATATTATTAAGAAAAAATTTCAACAAAAAAATAATTGGGACGGATAGGTAAGAATCGGGTTGGCCAAGAACGTGTCACATTGGTAAAACGTCTTTGTAACAAATAATATATATTTAATAATATTTATATAATAAATTTTGTTAAACAGATATCCACATTTTTATCCAAAAATAAATACAAGTGTATATAAGATTAACTAAATTGTTTCTATAATAAATGTAATTTAACATTAACAGTACTAATTAAATTTTAAAAAATTATATATTCCCATATTATTTTAATACTTTATATCAAATAAATTTAAAAAAAAACAATATATATGGCCTAATAAGATTTGAACCTCAGACCATGGATTGCCAGACATCAAAAGTACTGGACTAGGTGAGCTATTAGAATAAGGTGGTTTTAATTTGTTGTAGACACTTTTATAATAAAATATACATAATTATGTATATTTGAGCATAGCATATATATTTATTGTAAAAATGTATAATATACTGTAAATGTTTCATATTACTAAACTGAATAATAATTTTTATTCAATAATTATGTTATTTCCTATTCAATTTTCTCACTACTTAGATCTAAAACAAAAATTATGAACAGTTAATACACATCCAAAAAAGAAACTTTTGGAGGGCTTGTATACATTTTTTTTTTAAAAAATGATCTTTTTTCAAACTCATAACAAACTAAAATTTGGTGTCCTATCAAAAGCTATTTATCCTAAACTAAAAGGCAATTAAGTATCAAAATTATGTCGAATTAGGACACAGCCTGCACTCTAAAAAAATGTTTGGGTTCAGTAAAATCATGAATGTTCAGATCATTTAGGTTCACAGCCGTGGTTATCATACCAAAAACGAATTAATTACTATTTGAATCGAATATGAATTAGGAAATTATATTATCTGTCGAATAATTATCCAGAATAATTTGCAAATATTAGAAATTATTTGTAGGTTCCCGGTAAAAATTAGGAATTTAATTTAATCTCCCAAATTTTTTTTATAAGCTATAATAAAATTAATTATAAAAAGTGCTAGGGCTTTAAAAAAATGGCTATAAATGGGGGGAAATTCTAAAGATTCACAAATTTGGATTTAAGTTATTTTCCCCATTTTTATAGCGATTTTTTTTACTTCCCTAGCATCAATTATATAATTTTTATAAAAAAAAATCTAGGAGATATAAACGAGTACCCCAAATTTTTAACTATTCAGAACCTATCCCATTTATAAGTATTAGAAATTATTCCTAAATATTTGAGATTTTAACATGTTACGTGAAGAACTTTTTCTTAACTTTTTTTCCAGACGCATTTATAACTTTTTTAAATTTGAGTAATACATTTTTCATTTTTGAAAAAGGTTTTATGGAATTTAATTTTCGAATCGAATTTTCGACGAATCAAATCGAATAATGTTTTTATTATTTCGTACGAATAAAAATAAAGAATTATATTGTAACAAGAATAGTATAAATATCAGATTCGTATTTTTTGTAGGCATCATTGACTGAATGATATAGTAAAACTTCAGAAAATGAGCGCCTCATTTTAGTGACCGTTTGTTCAGTCTCTCGTGACAATTAAATAAATTTAATAATGAAATATATTTCCCTTTAAGTTTTAGGAAAAAATTTATCATGGAGAGGGATTTCTAACCCCCAATCCTAAAGAAATTAAATTCCTTCGAAAATACAAATTTTTTTCTATAAAAATTTATTAGTTTTTATATATAAATTAATTTAATATCTTGTCATTTTTCATTTTATAAAAAAAAAAGGATATTTAAATACAATAAGCAGGAGGGCAGCGTCTATCATATTGTTTGTCTAATCACTCGAAATTTGCCATTTTTACATAATATGATAAAATCTGTAAATGAAGAAAAGGAATCATGCAAACGCTTTAGGATTATCCCTATTAACCTTCCATTTCATCAGCTCTAAACAAGTCATAGCATCTTCTTTACTATCATGTCCATCATCTAATTAACGTTTTTTTGTAAAAAAGATATTATGAAAGGGTAAAATGATTGATTAATTAAATGTTTTATTTTTAATTTTAAGACATTTTAAAAAAATATATATAAAAAAGTAAATTATGATTTTTGCTTTAAACTAAATATTCTAAAAACGCAAAAAATATAATTTTGAGAATTTGGATATCTTTTTCTCAAAAAAATTGGGCCGCAGTTGAACATGTGTGCAAATAGTTTTATCGGTGCCTGCGTTTCTTTTTTTAAGCGATCGTCTAACGGCGGCGTCAACGCCGCCATAAAATAATTTTGTTGGAAACAACTTTTTGAAACAAAATTTATTGTGCAAATTTTGAATTTGTATTTATAATAATAAAATCAAATTATATCATCAATTTAACGATTTCTTTGAGTTACAATTATCATGTATAAAAATTATTATATAAAAATTTGAAGGGCGTAATGAAGATCTTCTAGTTGAATGCGAGCCCAGTTATAGAAAATACACGCTTCTTGTGTGTAGATTTTCCGGTGAAAATTGAAAGTTTGAGAATATCCAATACTTTTATAATATAATTTAAGATATCAGCTAACAAAAATAATGAATAACATTTTTCTTCTAGATTATTTTAAATTGTCCTGTTGCTCCAATGGTGATGAGATCCAATGCTGTTATTTTAAAAAGTAAGATCAGTTATCTCTAAAGTATGAGGCGAAAATAAATAAAATTCTCCTTCTAGATCATTCAAATGATCTTGTTGTTCCAAATTCTGGTTATGAATGTTTAATCGTTATTATTTTAATATGATTCGGAAGTCACCTCTGCGTTTTTCTAATCTGCAGATTGTCCATGTAGGTAGCAGAGCCGCAGCATGTTGGCATATAAATTGTATTGGGGTAACATTATTTTTCAAATATTCATTTATTATGTTTTTGAAAGCGAGGGTTCAAAGTGCACGTAATACCGAAGTATAAAAAAATATGGTTAAATTGATTACTCATATTTTTATTGCAGAAATATAATTTTCTTTATAATTAACTAATTATTCATAATACTTCTAAATAAAGATTAAATGTGGATAAATTCAACTTTTTGAGGGTTAAAATTTTTTATTTTATAAGTTCTTCAACCAACTAATCAGAGTTAAATAATTTAAGATCATGTTCATTCCTGCTGATGAGAATCTTTATAATGTTATGCAAAGTGTAGGCATATTTCATTTTCCCATGTGATGATCATTTATATATACTAGAAAAATTTGGTTAAAGTGACAAAATATCTTAAATTATAATAAAAAATGGTATGTTAAAATTATTGTTATTTTTATAGTGTATGTTATTTGTAAATTAAATGTTTTTTTAAAATAAATAATATCGCATTTAATAAATTAAAAATATCTTTAAAAAAATACATTTGATATTATTTTTCTTATATAAATAATTAATTCAATAATAATAATCAAAAACATTTATCACGTCGCCGAATTCTTTTTAGATGTAGGTGTTGTCAACTTAATAAAAAATCACAGGCGCCAACGGATATAAAAAGATTTTTCCCATAAAGTATTGAAAGTTTTAAAATTATCTTTTTTTCGAAGTAAATAGGAATGTTCATAGGGTAAGAAATTTATTTAATTGGTTAAGTCTGACAAAATTTAAAATGCGAGCAAATATGTGAGAAAATGTTCAAAGAATAGTGTACATTAAATAACAATATTTTATTTTAATATAATTAAATTATTTTTATTGATAATCTTGTCACATCTGATATGTCATGTCATGTGATCATATATACCCAAATTGATATTTATCAAATCTATTTTATTTGAAATGGAGAATATATTTTTAAAAAATTCAAAAAGATTTTTCCGTTTATACCTTTCCTATGATGATATAATTGTAATGTTAATTGCCATTTATTAATGATGATATTATCTTCTTTTTTTTAAAATTTAACAAAAAAAATGGGCAGCATTTAATCCTCATAAATAAGATTACCTAATTTTGTTTTTATATACTTAGCATAAGTCTTAACCTTGTCAGCTGTCTTTCCAAAAAATACTCATATTTTTTAAAAAGTCATAAAAGTCTTAAGAAGAGAGTCAATAGGTAAAAAAAAATTAATATTGACAAAGAGAAATTTAAAATAATTTCTAAAAAAACCATCTTCCTGAATGATTTTCTTGAGGATTTCTGTGCTGAGCGTCCTTAGAGCCCTTTTGAAAGGAAGTCCGAGTCTGTGAGGAAATACTAAAGCAGTATCGACAATGTTATTGTGCACCAGTTCGAGCGCCACCAAATCGCTTTCAAGCGAGTGTCCGACGAGTACAACGTATGATTTCGCAGGAGAATTTCTAATAGTCGATTTTGTGTTTATACATTTAAAAAATATACATATAATTTAAAAAAAAAAAATATCCTTTCGATAAATATGCAAACGGGATGGGGGGCATATTGAAAAGGTTTTAAAGAAAGTAAGGGGCCGTTTTAAAATTTTAGGAGAGGAAAAATAGTACTTATTTCTGGTTATTATATCCATATACATTGTATTGATATTGTAAATTATAACTTTTCGAGGGATTCAGCGGGATTGGCGAGAAATTGGCAGAGGTCGATCCTAGCTTGATCGAAAGTGACTAACCGATCTATATTAATCGATGGGTTTAAATGTTCGGATCGGATACCGCTAAACCGAGTGTTGTAATCGATAACCGGTTCATTCCTGGGTTTAACGTAGGTGTCGTATATTACCGTCTCTTGCGAATCGTGATTTTTTTGATGAGCGAAGAATTCTTAGGTTTGTAATTTATTTTATTTTTTTTAACTTTTCGTGAAGAAAAAATATATAACAAAATTTGTAATTTTTAAATAAAATTGAGAAGGTAGATTAAAAATAAATTTCCTATACTATCCCTAAAATATATTTGATTGATTATAGGGTTGGCATGATTAATAAATCATATTGATTTTAATAACAATTTTTAAAATCTCATTTTACTAGGGTTGGTGTGATTAAATCAATTTTTTTAGTCTGTAATATAAATAATAAATATATCTCCTTTTAATTCACAACATTTTATTGTATGCCATTTTAACAAAGAGGCCCTAGCAACAAGCGAACGGGGGAGAAAGTGGGAAAGCTGCCCTCTTGTGCATTGATTGTGATTAAGTTTGACCCAATTTTAGCCGATATTAAAAAGACCTGGTTATAAATGTATCTATTTTGGAATTGGCACAAGATTGACAGATATTTTTTAATATGTAACCATCTTAGATACTTTAAAAAAGTATGTTATCAAGCAAAAAATTTCAATGAGGGGTTGGTGGCGGCAAATAAAATCGGCCCTATGTTTTGGATCGGCTAAACCAATCCAATTTTGAACAAATATTAAATCGTTCGATTCTAAATGTTTCCTTGAAATAATTTTTTTTATGACAAATCGTGATGTTATATCGATATTACAAGATGTTTATGCATAAAAAATTAGCTGCCAATCTCTTGCCAATTCTGAGATATACATATTTATAATTTGGTCATTTCAATATCGATGCGGCCCTAATTTCGATTTTCCTTTTCTTAAGGCATGGGGCTTTAAAGGGCCTCCGAAATTTTGCATATAAGTTTAAATTGTTATATTTAATTATTAAAAAATATTTTTTATATTATCTATAATAAATTCCTACTATATAAATTAATCATTTTAATATTGTTTAAATTTAAGGAGATATAAAGAATCTCTATGATTATTTCGATTCAACTCTGTCTAATATTGTACAAGGGACATTAAATTTTTAAGCTTTTTATTAAAAAAAAAATTTCTCTCTCTGGTAGTGTAGCATGTTTGATAAGCCATGGCTAATTTTTGTATCTATGGCTTATTTTTTTTCCGAGCTACTTTGAGCTATATTTATACTAATAATAGCTCAATTATAGGACTGATTAACAAGGGAATTTTTTTAAAATTGGATAAGAATATTTAAAATTAGACATGAAGTAAAGAAGTATAGGATTAAAGGTTAGAGTAAGAAGTTAGAGTTAATTAAAGGTTTAAGTATATAGATTATTGTAAAAGATATATTAAAAATGGGTTTTTATTAATAACTTGTCAAATCTGATAGGTCATATTATTATAAATAGAAGAAGATAAATTTAAATAAATAAGTTGTTGTAACAACATTTCCCCTTGAGTTAAACTACAATGATTTATACTATAACTATTGTGCCTATATTTTTTTCTGTTAGTGGGTAGTTGTTGTCTTATTTAGAATTAAGAGTCATTATGCTTAGTAAATCTAATTTATAAAACTAATTAGGAGTGCATTTAAAAAAAAAGATAAGTTAAATGAGCTGTCGTATTTATATTCATCATAGAATTCATTCGAGAAATATTTGAAAATCTATAAATTTTTCTTTTTCTCTAGTAAATTTTCGGTAGAATAAATATATTACTAAAATTTTCTAAAGGCTTCTCATATCCCACCAACGTAATCCGAGCAACTTCAGTACCCAGGGGTGTGTAAATCATCTCGCAATCCAAACCGTATACCTTAGATTGTTCCTTCTCCTCACGAGTATTTTTAAAAGTATCGGATTTTATGTTATTCCTTTTTTCACTTTCGTCGCTTTTTGCACCAATCTCCAACGATAATGGAACTGCGGGCCCTAATGAGGTACTAACCCATGTGGATTGCCTTGAATTTCGATCTAAATCGTCTGATTTGAGGCGTTTAGACGAATTTGAATAGATTTGATTATTCGCACAGAAGGACCTGTAAATTCCGAGGGGTTTGTCATTGACATGACGAGAGGCCAAAGTACAACCTGGGTCCAACCCCGGTTCGCCGCAACAAGAAAATCGGGTTAAAATCGGGGCAGCATTCTTTTTTCCACCACCTGATCCAGTTTTGCGGAGGCGGCCCCAATGGTACAAACATTCCTCGTTAGGCTTGACGTATATGAAAGAGCTTTTACCTGTTATAAATTATAGTTTAAATGAATGTTAATGTAGGAAATAAGGAAACCCATTTAATTTGGCCTCTTAGAGATAAGCATTGTTTTCCAAGCTTTCAAAATATAGGCGATGTATATTTTCATTTATTTTTATTTTTGCCATTATTTTATGTGAATTAACAAAATAAAATATGAAGTTTCGGTAGTTTTTTTTTAAAGATTACTGCTAATTTATTTAAAACTTTCTTCAATATTAATTTATAAACATTCTTCTTTTAAATACAATAACATGCTCAAGCCGATTGGCGTAGAGAAGATTCTGCTAGGGAAGGGAGCACTTTTATGTATTGTTTTCCCACATAAATTTTATTGGAAGTCTTTAGATTTTTTTTAATGCGGTCTTTGGCTATATTCGATTTTTATAAAAAATATTTTGGTTTTCTCCGTTTTTTATAAAATGTTTTTTCTTATTAAAAATTTCGTATTAAAAAAATTAACTTTGGCTAATATTTCTTTCAGATTCTTGTTTCATAGTGATATATTGTATACATTATTTTAAGAGAGTGGGGTGTGTAGGAGGAATTTTATTAGCTTAAAATGACATTTACGAGAATAAATTTCTGGAGGGGGGAGGGGCTATTCCTGGCTACGCTTAGGTGCTCAAGAATAAAGGTACTATGAGATTGAGAATAGGGTATAAATTAAGAATCAATTACCGCCATCTACTCCTGGTATTTCGTAAACGGAATATCCTTTGGCGCATCTGCAGCAAGTAAAGGTATGCATTATTTTTGAATCCCCTTCAGAATTTTTCTGCTCGGTAGAAACAGGATCTTTGTGAATGGATATCTTCGGCCCCTTCCTGACAATTGATTGACGGGAGTCAGAATTAAGATGAACATTACATGTATTTCGGCGTTCTTTTGATTGGTTGGCGAAAATATTTACGCTGGGTCTCTCAACTGGTGTAACTCTGACAATGGGCCTGATAACATTTTTAGACGTTTTATCATCATTGAATATCAAAACTGGGTACCCATTTTCCGCCAATTGTTTTGGGGAAGCCATGTATTGGCAAAGCGCTGAAGCAAACATTGACTCAAAACTTTTCATTTTATCAGTTAATATGGGTGAGTGTATTGCAGGTCTTTTAGGGTTGTTTTTCGGGTTTATATTTTTATGGTTATGGGTTTTGTTAGACAAAACGCTACGCAAATGTTTTATAGTGGAAGCCGCAGTGTTGAAGTAGGCAGAACGCGAGGTCAGGCCTTTTGAATAAACGGCTGATTCGGTTTCAAACGCCCTCTTAACATTTTCATTATCTTCATTTGGTTCATCCATCTCATGTGAAGATGCATTTTCTGCTTATTTTATTTTTCGATAATATTTTTAGTGAGTTTATATGTATAAATTTAATTAAGTGAAATAAAATAATTTAAAAATAGAAAGTATAGAACATTGGTACAGGGACTTGAGGATTACGATTGCCACTTATATAAAATTAAATATTAAAATTGGTTAATATTTTTTTAGTTTACAATTCAGATAATTAATTGGATAAAATATCTGGTAATATATTATGTTTTAAAAATATTTCAATTTTGTTAAAATTGTTTGTAGAAAATAAGGAATAACAATAAATTGCTTACCTGTTACCTCTCACTACAAACATATAAAAATATAAAGTCCAATTCTACAAATATGCTCGCAGAATTCAACGTTATAGTAAATCTACTGCTGCCTTGTCATAGGTATTTATAAATGTAAAATTTTATTTTAAAATATGCAGAGCATATTAGATTTAATATTTTAAAAAAATTTATTAATTTTTGCATTTTAAGATCTTAAGCATTAATTTTTTTGATCATTTATGTATCAAATTATCGCAAATTGTATTGAAAGCCTTAATGAATAGATCAATAGAGTATAATATTAGTATTGGACTTGATCGGGATGGTTTAACATTGGTCTGTGCCGATCCACATATTTTCCACCGATCCGATCCGATATTTTCCGAATTGGTTCAAAAACGATCCGATATTTATATTGATTTTTCACCACCTCCCTTTGAACCAAATGTAATTAAGAAATAAATATTTTTTATGCAAAAAATCGAATTATGTATTTAATTTAATGTTTTTATTTCTACAATAATTAAAAAAAGTTTACGGATATTGGTAATATTAAATGAATTTTTCATTATTACTCCCCGTGAAATTAGAATTCCGCAGATAAAGCATTTTGCAAAATTAATGTCCTTTGTAAAATATTTCCATAATTCAGAATATTTAAAAATATTCTTTTATTTAAAGTATAAATAACAAAATTGGGTGTTCCTTTCTATTTTTATAAAAAAAACTTTAAAATACTATAAATCTATTTTAAAAAAATAAATAAAACTTAAAGGGTGTTGTGCATTTGCATTGTTTAAAAAAAAATTATTTAGAAAATATTATGTAAAATATATATACATAAAATAACAAAAAAAAGTAAAGTAAAAAGATCGGATCGTTTTTTACAGGCATCGGTCTGATCCAATATTTTTGGAAAACGCTAAATATCGGTGCCGATCCTATATTTAATATTGGCACAGCCCTAGTTTAACACATCACTATTTATTAAAAAATTTTTTACCCATTCAGCTTGTGTAATAAACTATGGCTGTTTGATTCCAAACTATGATAAAAAAAATAGTACTAGACACTTGATTATTATAATGTTATATCTCCATTTTATTTTAGGGCCAACAATCTTTTTGGGTTGCCATTATTTTCACAAAAAACAATATGTGGAGAGAGGGGTGAAATAGAGAAAAGTAATTTTAATTGCAAGAAGTTTACTTAATTTTGTACAAAAATAAGGTTGCATAAACTTAATCTATACCTTTATATTTAGTTAATATCTCACGATAAAACATGTTGAGATATCTTTGACGAACTGTTAGAGATATTTTAGATGCAGCAAAATCACATGTTGAGTTATCAATGTATTTTGGTTGATCCAGTATATTTAGGTTGTCAAGGGTGGGAATTTTTTTAACGTCATTTTCCTTTAAATCATATATTTTTTTGAAATTTTTTTAATTAATAAAATCTATTTGCAGAAATTTCAAATAAAATATAACTGATTGCACTATAATTAAATCAATAATGGGAAAATTGTTACATATTGGGGCAATATATGTGACATTCTCTTCTTAGTGATTGTTTCAATATTTTGCTCATCATCCATATTATCAGATGTTTGAATAATATTGGCATCATTCTTGAGATTAACATTTTGTTTTACTGAGGCAGTCCTTTGCAACATTACATAACTTGGATTTAGTTTTAAAGATAAATTTGTATTATTTTTGCCCAAGGGAAGTTTGGTAGACATTGATTTACTGTTAGATTGCTCTGGATTGTTGGTAACCTTTATGTAATATAAAATATATTTACAAAAAAAATGAACCAAAAGACCCAAAGAATTTATCTTATATGAATTTTTATGATATAATGAACAAAAAAATATAATTAACTTTATGAGCTAGCCGTTTTTTATTTTTAGTGGAGTCATATAGGGGTGAATTGGTCTTGGACAAATTGTTTTCTACAATATTATTCTTCGATGATTTCTGGTTCAGTAAACTTGATGATTTGCCTTCTATTTTTAATAGGAGTTCCTTTGTTTCATTTTGATACATGTCTTGTTTGATTGTTCCCTGTGATTTTTTTATTTTTTTTAAGATAAATTTATTGTTTTTGGTAATCAAAATGATAATTTATTCAAATAAATTAGAATTAATAAATGCCAAAAAGTTTATATAATCAAATTCCTACATGCAAAAATTCAATTCATTAATTAATCCTTTCTTTCTAACATAGTTTATAACCTGTTTGGCTAATTCAATATTCTTTTTGATCTGCTCTAGCTTATCTCTCATGTCATCTTTATTGTACTTCCTAGGTGATAATTTTTCAATACTACCAGTAATAACTTTATTAAAATCCAAATGTGTATTGTTGGGAGGTTGTGAACAAGAGGAACTAGTTATATTGTCAGTTTCATCATCAGAGCCAAAGAGGTTATCATCCATATCAGAAACTGAAACCATAGAATCACTTTCATGTTCACTTACAATTTCATCTTCAGAAATTTTGGGTGTTTCTTTTTCTTTATTAAGACTATAACTAATATTGTGCATCTTGTTGAAAGTTGTACCAACGTTTTTGTGATGGGCTATTAGATCTTTTTTTGGAGCAGATGTTGAGAGACAATTTTTTTTATTTGATGAGTTTGTTTTGGATCTGGACAGGGAAGTTGAATTGGGTGTAGAAGTGGAAAATATATCAATATCTATACTTTTAAAAGGCAATGATTGTTTCTTATTAATGCATTCTTTTTTTATACCTTTATCCACATTCATTTCACCAACAACACTTGCATTTTCATTCAATTTTACAAGGCTTGATGATATACCTTCATTTTTTGAATATTTTATATTTGTAGATTCTTTTTTTAAATTTTTAGAACCATTTGCTTCTGAGGAATTAGTTAGGTGAATGTTAGTTTGACATTTGATAGATGCAGCACGGATAATTCTTTTTGTTTTTTCATCTAACTGATAAAGCCTTTTACAATCTTTAGTAATTGGTATGATCTCTTTGATTTTATTTGTATTCTTTGTTTTGGATGACTGATTATTTGATCCATAGATTTTTCTATTAAATTGTACCCCAGAATCAGGATCACATTGATCTGGAGACATGGGTGATATCAAGTCATCTTGTTCAATGTTATCCTCATTAAGTATATGTTTATCTATACCTTCTTGCAAACTATTTTTAACACATTTTTTTGAACTTTCATCAATTATATTATGTTGAGTTTCTTGTTTCTCAGATTTAAATCGCTTCATTTCTGATGAATTGATAAGATTAGTAAAAAATGAAGAACTTAAAAAATTTGAATTTTTATTTTTTATAGGAGTTTTGATGTTATTAATTTGGTCAGAAATTGTTTGAGATGGTATGGGTAGTGAAGACATTTCTATATCATTTGAAAATATTGTATAGAGAGATTTATCAACTTCTGTTCCATTGATTTTTTGATTTATATCTTGAATTTCATGATCATTCTTGTCCTTATTAATATATTGTTTTTTAAAATGATCTAGCTCTTCTTTAGTTAGTTTAGATAAAAAATCCATAGTAAAATTAATAAGTTTATCTGACTTAAACACTTCTTTAGTAAAAATTTTAAGTTTATTTTCCATTGAGTTTTCTGGGATATTAACATGTTTTATATTCTTTAATTGGCTAATAGGAGTAGGATTATAAACTGGAGCATTCTTATTATATTTGAATGATGGTTGATATAATGTATGAGAATCATATATATTTTTCATGTAATTAGAATCATTTTCATCAGATAAATCACAATCATTTTCTGTAAATTTGTGGCCATTTAAAAAATCTGGATCACCAACATGAGTGTCTGATTTAACATTTTTAATAGTTTCAGCCATGTAATTTATAAAATCTGGTTCATGTGGTATGGTAAAAGGTGTGTTTACATTGGCATCCTGAAGATCTGTGTTATTAAACTCTGGTTTATTAGATATGTCTAATATATTACGTGCCATAGAAGCTTGCAGAGAATTTCCAGCATTAGTTGTTATGATAGGCAACAAATCTAATAAAGAAATATTTTAAATATGTCAATATTAATATATAACATGGAATATTTATATTAAGTTAAATCTGTACCTGTTCTGGAATGTCTAAAATGACAATAAGGTTTTTCGCAAAGTCCATTTTGGAAAAAGGGACAATTTAAAGTCTTAAAATATCCCTTAGATGGTAACATCTTCAAAGATTCAGGTTCGCAATTTTAAGCGAAACGTTTGGATTGACAATTCTATAAGTTTAAGAAATGGGTGATAATAAATGATTGGCATTCTATAATTAGGTATATTTTAATATTAGATATGAATACAAATTTAAATAAATAGGATATAAAACCTATTATCTAAATTGAATTCATATTTTTTTAAACTCAAATTTATTTTACGTGCTTGCCCAAGAATAAAATTTGTGTTGGGTGGCACGTGATTTATTGAATTTAATGCTCCTATATAATCTCCCAGAATTAAAATAAAATGCTAAGAAAAAAAATCCCTAAGCTATCAGAATAAAAACTTATGGTTTAGAAAAGATATTGAATGCTCAAAATTTTTTCTTAATGCTCAGATAAAAATAACTAATTGCTCGGGTATGAAACGAAAATGTTCAGATTATTGAATGAATAGCTCATAAATATATATGAAGCTTTTGAGTAAAATCAAGGAAAAAGTATTCTTTAATTCTGAGCAATTAGTAAAAAGATTCTGAGCGTTTTAATTTTTATATGAAGGAAATAATATGCCATTAAAATAATATAATAAAAATAAAAAGTACTACTATAATCAAATTTTACTAAGATGTTGTTGATCATATTTAAAGTTTTTACGGCTCAACCAGGTATTGAATATTGGAAGGCCTTTAAATTTCTGCTTGATTTTTATATATGAAAGAATATTTACAAATTTAAAATATGATAAAAATCTTTAAAATGAGACCATTAAAAAGACCACTCTAAGCTATTTTTTATATTTAAACTATAAGAGAATACATTCTTTCTACATTTATTCAGACATGTGACTGTATCCTGATTCCATAACTTCTATATGTTTTTAATTCTCTCTTTTGCAAATATGTCCTACGATCATAGTCACTTTTGTTTACGATCTATTACATAAAAAATCAATACGTTTTCTATACATATTTGGAGATAATTTATTCCTATTTAACAAATACATCTGTTATTAAAAATAGCAATATATATAATATACAAATAAAAATTAACACAATTTTACTTGATTTTAATAACATTTCAGAAGTTTTTAACAAGGCAACACTCCCCCTCCCCTCTCACCCTAATCCATATCGGTAAATTTTTTTACCGATACTAAATAAATGTTTAACTGGTACGCTGAAATATTTTACTAAAAATAATTGTCTAAATATGGGAAATGTTATCTAAAATAGTGAAATCGTTACCTTTTGTCGATAAAAAAACAGTTTTTTTTTATATTTTAATAATTTTTATCAAATAATTTTGAATTTATATTTAATTAAGATTAAAAAAAATTATTTGATTAAATCAATTTACTCAAATAATAAACAATTTATAATTTTTTTTTTATAATTTATGTGAAATCGAAATATATCTTATATTTTTAAACATTTTGCAAAGAAAAATAAAGAATAAAATATAATATAATATAGATGGGTATATTTACTCAAAAGAAACCAGTGAAAATTCATAAAAAAGAAATTAAATTGTTTAATTTATTTAATTAAATAAAGAATTAAAATATGTTTTTATTATGTAAAATCAGATTTTTTTTATATTTTATAGGAATTAACTATATGACGACGGGACATTGTAATACAAAATGAGCAAGTGTTTCTGAACCAACACCGATACAGTACAGTATCGCGATGCTTCAAAAACTCTGCAAAATTCTAATTAGTTTTATTAGAAGTTGTAATTAATAATTAGATAAACAATATTAAAATAACAATGATAGATAAAATAAGTATATAAATTAAAGATACTAATGGTTGAATCCGGCTAAAAGTCGGGAAAACTGTGTCGTATATAACTGTCACATTTCCGGATTGGTAACCTCCTTCCCTGTCCCCGGTGAATTATGTTTATATGATGACTATTAATAATATATTAAAATAAATATTAATTTTGATCTGCATATTTTTGATTACTTACTTTTATATTTTATATATCTGACATACTAAAACACGTTTTAATGAATTACAGTATTTGACATAATTGCTTGCAATAATTTTTGAAGGGTGTTTATCGTATTCAAACAAAACTCTATCATATAGTAAAATTTCTATATTTTTTTTTAAGCCAAATTATATTTTATTTAAGAGTTATCATTAACTTTACTAAATAATAACTTAATCACATTGAATATACATTAATCTCGTTTTTCAATTCTTCATCGACTTCAGTTTACATTATTTTATAAAATATTCCAAGGGCAGCTAATAGTTCTGGCACTAATTTATTTTACTGATAATAAAGATTCAAAAAATTTAGAATGCATTTATAATCTGACATTAATGTTGTTAAAAAGCCCTATTCGGGTCGATTTATAAAAAACGGCCCGAATAAGATTATAACCAAAATAACATTATGTAATCCAAAAGATTTTGCACATAGCTGGCAATGCTTGGACATCTACTTGCCAAATCTCAATGCTTACATAATATTATTTTAGTTATAATCTTAATCGGGCCGTTTTGAAAAATCGACCCGAATCTGGCTTTTAAACAACACTATCTGACATAAAGCTTTTCATTTTAAAATTTAAAATTAAATTGACTATTTATAAAATTGTAATCCACATCGTGGCAAGACTAATTTGGCTTTAAAAGACAAGACAGATTTAGATCTAAATGAAGGCGCGTTGGCGGCAGGGGAGGGGCAAAGAGATCCCCCCCCATAAAAAAAGCAAAACCTCTATATGATGGCTAAAATATTTTTTTAGAAATATTACTGATACTACATATTATTGCATAAATTCCTGAATTATTTATTAAATTAACTTCAGAAATATATATGCTACTAAATTATTCTATGAATTAACTTGGCTTTATATTTATCTAACATTTTAAAATTTCTTAAATTATTTACAACTTTTTTACTCTAAAACTAAATTAAAATATTTCAAAAAAATGACATCTAGAATAGCTTAGAGCATTATATTAGAAATTTAGGAAATTAGGGGACGAAATGTAGATAACAAATTCAATAAATTATGTCATTGTTGAGTCAAAAGTAAATGTTTTTTAATATCTACCTCGACTAGCAGCAATGCAAACCATCGTTTCAGTATTAGTATAGGGTAGTCGAAGAACACCAAAAAATAAATCCTTTATCCCTCACTTAGATACTTTTACAATTAAAATAAATGAAAGGTTCTTAATAAATAATACAGCACTTGCAACTCTATAATATTACCGCAAAATCCTTCCAAATCTATTTCTAATCTTGTTAGAGAAAAAATTAAATATTTGATAGATTTTTATTTTGAGGATGTTAAATAACTCATGACGTAATACTAGCCGAATGAAAACTATGATATAAAAGTTTTATAGGATTGTTAATGTTCCAAAAAATATATAAATGCTTTGCATAATTTCAAACACTTCTAAGACTATTTTTATAAGGTATAAATATTATTATATACTAGTCTAGCAATGAATAAACCTACTTCTTTAACAAGAAAATCATAACTTATAAATTTTGTTAAATGGCTTGATTTAATCTAATTTTTAAAAATAGAAAATTATTTCCTAAGATTAAAAATTTCTCAAATAGATGCCCAAATAATATTTTTTCTGGTAGCAACATTTAAAAAAGCTAAAAACCTATTTAACAATATTACTAAAAGTACTATATCCGAAAATAGATTAGTTGGGTCTTAGTCCTTCTTAATATACACGGAGATAACACCAATCACTTATGAAATCATTATCATTAAATAACTCAATCCCATAATATTAAATTTTCATTATTAATTTATAATGCTTTTTAATTATATTTTTTACCATTTTTAGATACCTCATATTTTTATTTACAAAATATTTTGGAAATTTATATATATGCAATAATTATTAAGAATATTTTTGTAATTAATATGTACTTCCTCCAGGGATGTGCATTTGACCGGTCAAATATCAAATATGGTCAAATACGGTCAATATGGTCAAATTCAAATAAATGTTTTTTAGGATAATATTAATTCTATTTTATATATAATAGTAAAAAATGTATGTATATTAAATTATTTTTTAAATTATATAATTAATGTTTCGCTCTCCATGGCAAAACCTTGTTCTAATTTATATTCATTCTTATTTTTTTTAACATTTTTTATGATATACTCCTACCAATTTTCTGGTTGTCGAGATCTTCAATCTGATTTTTTAGACATTTCTCTTAATATTAAAAGTGAACAAAGCCCATTACAACAACTTGAGCCCAAAATCTGATTGTTTTACTGGTATTTTGGCTATACGCCGCTTTTACTTCTGAAATTTATGATCACTTAAAATATTTTGATGATCATCTCTTTATGAAACGACTAATTTTTGTATTATGACATATGCTTCATTAAACTTAAGATGATTGTATTATGTGTTTTCTAAATTAAGCATATCATTTTTTACATGAGCCAAGGTTAAGATAGCTAAATGATTTTATGAATAGTTTAAAATTTTAAAATTTTTGTATAAAATATATAATTTAATATATTATATATTATTGGTAAATTCTCTCGGACAAATATCCAACTTCTTCAACAGCTGCTTTCAGAGCTTTGTTGCATATATTTATATTGGCTCATTATATTTTATTGATGATGCCCATCTTATTTGGATAATTGTACATAATGTAATATAAATTGGCAATTAGCAATTTTCTCAAACTATGCTTAAGTTAAATTTTTATATTTATTTATATATTTAAATTCAATCAAATTAATAATGAGAAAAATTCTTAATTTTAATATGAAAATTTTATATAAAATTATAATTAAATCGATGTCTAGATGATACAAATATATTTTAAAATAATTTGTAAATAAATTAGATAGATAAATATGCTTTAAATACATATTAGTTCATTAAATAAATACAGTTATTCACCTATAACATTTTTCCTTCTCTCAATTGACCGGTCAATTGACCTGCCAACCCTGATTTCCTCTCTTCTTAGAAAAATATAATTTAAATTTATATATC